CTTTCCTAGGTGAGTGTAATATTACTCTATATGTCCCCTAGTCTCCTTGCTAGACGTTTATAGACCTTTTATTAGGTATACACTACTTTATTGTTTCTGTAAACACTGTTATAGACTCAGTACTATCCTCTACATCTTCTGTCAATTGATTTAGTTGTCTTGGCTTACCCTTGAATAACTCAAGTAAATCCAATAGCATGTTACATGGTATGCCATCTCTAAAAAAAGACTCTATATCATCAAAGTCCATTAGCTCCTCATCAAAGAGCATGCCCATATCTTCTTCCACTTTTGCTTTCCCTTTGGCTAATGAACTTGCAGATACTTTCTTTGTGTCCCCTTCAAAAAGATCTAGTATCTGTTTGAGTTCAGCAATATTCTGGTCCAAGATATTTTGCTTGATCTAGACCTTCTTGATTTCTTTTTGTTGTTCCCTTATCCAAGTGGGGTTTTTGTTCCCCATCAATGGACTAGGACTTAAGTAAGCCTCTGAAGGAGTGGGATTTTGCCTGCTCATCCAAACGATAAACTTTCTATGTTCTCTTCTTTTTTTGAGTCTTATTAATTGTTTGGTACCATGCCCCAAATGAAAATTTTGAGTGTTGAACTTGGTGCCACTTATAATCATGGACTTTAGGGGGATTCACTATTCTTGATCCACCCTTCGAGATATCTCAAATCTCCCTTTCTTTTTTTGGGACTGTTGTTATTGGTGTCCTTGTCATCTGATCCTTTGCCAAACAGTTTCCTTGGCAATCGATGGTCCAACAAAATGGTCCATTTCTTGTATTTCTCCTCTTCTTCCTTGGTGCTTAGTACCTCTTGCATCCCTCCTAAGTTTAGGAAGATAATGGGGGTCAGGTTGATATCTTTCTTTGATTGAGAATATACCTAGGTCTGCACCATCAAAGATTTTTGTACAGCCATTGTAAATCTAAATATCGCGTTCACCTCTGGTGTTGAATTGGAGTCCTTTTATAAGTGAACTCATTCACTATATCATCTAGTGGGATTGTATCAGGTTTGACTATTTCTTTTGCACACTTGAAGCACATAACCAATGGCTCCTCATCTCTAGGGCCAAGTCTGTTATGCACTGAGATTCTCATCCTGGGAACAATTCTCTCTCTATCAACCACATAATTGGTAGACTTCCTGCTTCCATGCATGTTAACATAAAGTATATTAATATTTACTTGCTTAGGAAAAAGATCCTTGTCGATTTTCATAGTTTCTTCCTCTTTTGTGGCATACTTAAGCATTCCCCTTTGTATTAGGTCTTGCACTCAATTCCTAAAGGTGATGCAATTCTTATTTGAATGCCTAAATGTATTATGTCATTTGTAATACTCTTTTTCTTTTCTGTCTTTCTCTAGTGAGATGTTATGTCCCTGAGATAAAACTATGAACTTTTGGCTGATCATTTCAACGAAGAGAGCATCAGCCATCGACAGATCAAAGAAGTATTACATAGAGGTTTGGGGTGTATCCTTCTTAAAATGATGATTAGATGGCATGTTAACAAGGTCTTCAATCTTTTTCAGGGTATCACACATGATTGGTGACTTTCCCATGACTTGTGCCACATCTATTTCAACTTCTCTGTTGATGTCTTGGAATTAAGTTCCAAATGAATTGTTTGTCGCTCTTCCCTAAGCAACATTTTGTATCTAGTAGCCCTAACTAAAAGTTCAAAAAGGTCCCTAAACTCCATTCCCTTGAATTTCTTTTGCAATTTGAAGTCTAAACCGTTTTGGGCAATTTCACTAGTTCTACTTTAGGCAAATTAACATGGCATTTGTTTCTAGCCTTTTTAAATCTATTGATATACTATTCTATAGATTCATTTGATTTGTGTCTTAATCTAGACAAATCTGCCATCGAGATTTCTGGTTCATTTATAAAAAAATTGAGCATTAAACTGCTCCTTTATCCATGTTTGAATTGAATTAACAAACAAGTTAATGAACCAAGCGAAAGCAATTTTCGTAAGTGATTGTGGGAAAATTTTCTTTTTTAAATTTCGATTGTGTCCAACCTCTCCACATTGGAAAGTGAACTTTCCTACATGTTCTATTGTGGATTGGCTCTCTTTGCCAAAGAAGAGATGAAATTTTAGGATTTAGTATCCCCTTGGGAACTCTTCATTGTCTACCCACGGGGCATATGATTTTCTGAACACAGGCCTCTAAGTTTCTCTTAGGCCAAAACCATATAGGTCTTGACTCATCTCCACCAATTGGTTTTTGTTGAAAACCACATTCTAGTGGTCATTGATGTGTTCCCCTTGATCAAAGGGTTGCCCTCATGTTATTGGGTTGAATTCATTTATGGGCTCTAGAGGCATAACAAAACTATCACAACCTCTCCTAAGATTTCCAGGGACCATCCTAGGTCCATTTCTTCCCCTAGGATTTCTTCCTAGGAAAAAGTTTAGAATGACTTCCATAGGTTTTCCATCAAACATCATGTTAAAGTGATTTTGGTGTAGGAAACCTAGTCTTTCACCAGTAACCATTGGTGGTGGTCTTTGATTTTCTATAGAGAATACCACAGGACTAGCATTTCCTTCATCTACCACTTCATTTCTAGTCACAGTGTTTGATTTTTGATTGAATGGTTTTGACAGTGATGTTGGGACATTCAACAATTCATGCATGACATTAACTAATTATTGTCTAATGCCAGAATTGAGATTGTCCAATACATGTTTCAAGTTTTGCACAAACTCATGCATTTGCACACTTTCTTAGCTATTAGACTAGCTTTGTTGGGTTTGCAAACTCCACATTACGGGTACTTGAACTTGTTTCATGATTACCATCAACTGGATCATTTCCACAATTTCGTTAGTCTCAAACATGATCTCGTCTTGTTTTCTTGTTCACACTATCTTCCTTGATCCAAGTTAATAATGATGTCCCACCAAGCGTGCCAAAATATTGTTGTCCCAAAAATTCTATTGTGATCAACAGAAATGCCTCAATCGACAGACAGCACTCAGGCGATTGTTTGTGGACGAGTTTTACTGCTTTATTTCAGGACTTCTTTGGATGATATTCGATAACAAAACACACAAAATACTAAACTAACAAAGAAATATGTCTTTATCAATTCAATCAAGTGGGTTTCAGTTATAGAGTGAATAATTTAACAACTTTTGATTACAACACTAACTACTTCTTAAAAACTGACTCTAGCACTACTCCTAAATGCCCTGATCGTGGGTCCTGTAGGGGGTATAATCGATTCTTACATCTTCTTCTTTTTCTCTTATTATAGCCACGTATTTCGATAGTTTCTCCCTTATCGACGATTAGTTGTCTTTGTAATTCTCAGACAGTTATTTCCTCTTTCATACTTGAGCTGTGGTTGGTCGTTTCCCACCATTTATTCAAACCTTAACACGTGGCAACCCTTTAATAATTTTAGGCTTGCCAAAAACACATGTATCGAATGCTTTCATAATTTTGTATTTTATGTCTAAATAGATATATACCATATCAATTAAGCCACACACGAACATTAGATTGACTATTTGAAGTGGTCCTCTAAGAACAAGAACTGGATCAAGAACTTTTAGCTGCATCAGTAACACATATAGAAGATTTTAGAGCAGTTGTTGAACATGGAGACAGTTTAATAGTTGAACAAGGAGATTTTAGTCACACTTACGCTTGATCGGGATGAATTCCAATGGCTCGACAAGTTTTTGAGGGCTGATGAGATTCTCCATTGATACCCACAGAGAAGATGATGAGCTGAAAATTGGAAAGGGATAAGCGTATGTTATGAGAGACTAACAGGCGTAATGCATTAGAATTGATTTACTTGATTTATGAATATAATTAATGTGTATCTACTTTATTTTTTTATTTTTTTATTAGAGAAAGATGAAAGGAAACAAAGGATGAGATTGACTTTATAACAAAATTTAAGGGTAAAAACGAAAATTAAAAGTTTGTCAACTTAGTGACATTTAGAAATAGTGTATATATATATATATAGAGAGAGAGAGAGAGAGAGGGAGTAAAACTTTAACATGTTTAGTTTTGGTGGTTTTATGTTCTCTCATAGCATAAGATGCATATTAGTAAAATTTTAAGTTTTGTTAATCGTATGTCAATACATGTTTATTGTTTAGTAATAGACATGGTCTAAAGAAAGATCGGACACGTCATCAAAGAAGTATCAGATACGTGTCTAACATTATAATATTTTTATTTAATTATAGTCATTGATAAAAGAGTATCGGACAAGTATCTGAAAATATCCAAAGAGTATCGGCGTCCGACACGAATATATCACCTTCTTAACGGTATGTGTGCTTCATGGCTTATCATTAATACCCCTTTTTATAGGCACATTCCATCAACCATTATGTTGTCTTTGACGGTTGCAATATTCATCACTTCTTCTACACGTAACTATTGTATTTTGGGTTTAAAAAAAAATATTAATTGACTTTGACCTTTTCGTCGATAATTGATACCCTTTGAATTCAAAAAGTCATAATAATTGTTCACCAATCCTTAAATAAACTTCCATCGTGTAACTATCGATCTTTTAAATTCGAAAAGTCATGTCAACTTACTTATCTTTCATAAGTTAATTAAATATTTGTCACGTGACAAATTTTTTGCTGATTCACTTATGACATGTGGCATTCAGTGTTCATTCATAAAATTGTAGAATATAATCCAAACACTCTTAAAAAGAAATCAAATATACATCAAGATATTTTCTTCTGCAAATCCATAAAAGTTTATTACTCCGAATTCAACAAAGAAGCAACATTATAAAGGTGAGTAATATAAAATACAAGGCCAACCCAAAGAAGGGGATACAAAAAAAAAAAAAAAAACCAGACCAAACATGGCAACAAAATACATGAATATTTTCTGACTCCATCGATACAGAAAAACATAATACATTAACGTTTGGTGATCTCTCTGCTCCAACACTTGAAGCTTATTTTCACACCTCAAAATGTGAGTTGCCTAGAAACCACCTGCTGTGTATGCACCATCAACAACAATGACCTGCCCTGTAATATATGAAGCAGCAGGAAGGCAAAGGAATGTCACAAGTCCTGAAATTTCTTGGGGCTCTGCTATAGGGCGAAGAGGAGTTCGAGCCATTAGCGGCATGTACATCATCATTATTGATGGATCCATGTCCTCCTACAGATAATGAATAAATTCAAACCGTGAATATAAATTCTTTTTTGGGGAAGACCAAAAAACTAATACACGAAATACTAAGCGTCTGTGATAAGAAAACGAGTTAAGGTGAGAGAGAGAAAGAGATCGTACAGGCTTCATAACGGTAGTTCTGACACCCCATGGTGCAACTGTATTGGTGCGAATGTTGTCCTTTGCCCATTCACAAGCCAAGTTTTGTGTAATTTGATTGATTGCAGCTGGAAAAAGAAAAAGGGTAGTTAAAATTTGAAACCTTTTCAAAGAATGATCTTCAAATTTTTAGAGGTACTTATATATAGATTACCTTTAGATGCTCCATACACAGTTTGAGCAGGCAAAGCCATCACACCAGAAACAGAGGAAATGAATACAATGCTTCCATTTCCAGATGCTTTCAGGAGTGGGTGTGCGAGCTGACACAAATGATATGGTGAAGCAACATTGGTTTCCATTATACGCTCAAATTCTTCTGCAGTGTAATCTGTAGCTCGTTTAAGCACACTTGTAGCAGCATTGTTTACCTAAGGCACATTACACCACATATCAGTTTTATAAACTTTGTTACCAATACAGGGCATAAATACTCTAAGATCATCTAATGATGAATATATTAAAAAAAAAATTCACAATTATGAAAAGACCAACTAATGTTATTCAGAATATTAGGCAGTAACGGTTGAAAACCATTTTATTTAAAAGCTTAATCTAATAGAATGAGATGTAATTTAAGTATTTATTTAATATAGCATAAATATTTATTTAATATTCCTTGTGGCCCCTCTGTTGATGGTCATACATGTATTTTTTTTTTTTTGGGAAGTAAGGGAGGAGACTTGTTGAGATTTGAATTCAAACTTCAAAGCTCTAAAATCATGTTGATTCTAAAAGCTTTAAGCGGGTAGAGAGAGACGTGTTACATATGTAACTTAAGTATTTATTTAATAGAAACTTACGAGGATGTTGAGTTTGCCACCAAAAATAGAAGAGGCAGTCTTCATTAGCTCTTCTCTTGATAGTTTTGATGACAAATCGCATACTGAACCGGTTACTTTGAACCCTTTGGCTGCCCATTCTTTTAGCTTTTCATTGAGCTCTGTTTGATTCCTTGAACATGTGTGAACAGCAGCACCAAACCCAGCTAGTTCCTCCACTATTGCACACCTAAAATTCATACAAAAAAAAAAACCCCAAATAACCAATTAGAACAAACAATCAATCTAATATCAAAATTGACTACACGTGAGAAAAATGCAGAGATACCAACCCAATGCCTCTGGTACCACCGGTGACTAGAGCAGTCTTTCCCTGAAGGGACCATCTCTCTTCTCTGGTGCCCATGTCTACAGATTTAGAAAGCTTCTCTATTAAATCCTGGTGTTCCATGTTTTTTCTAGCAACAACTCTCTTCTATCTTAACTTGGATGGAAATGTATGTATAAGCAAAACAGAAACTCAGAACGATGGATTTGCTTAGGTGGGTCTTGAGCTTTTATAGAGCACTTTGGGAATAATTTTTTGTAGTATTATATTTTTTCTCTACAAGATTTTAAGATTTTCACTTTATTCTTTCAAATATTAAATTTCTTACGCCCTTAATATATCAAAAAGATTATAACGTGATCTTTTTATTAACTTTTTATTTGTATTTTTTTCGGTGTCAATGGATTGACTTTTAATGAAAAAGTAATATAGGCTAACAAAATGGTTATAATGCAACACTTTTGAAATATTAAAGATATAATATAAAAAATTTAATCTTAAAAAACATAAAATAAAAATCTTAAAATCTTTCGAATTATAAAACAAAAAAATCCATTAGTTTTTAGGTGGGAAAGATTAGCGCAATTTGGTGACGGTGAAGTCAACCGTCTGTGACGGATATTTGGTGTTTCCATTGGTCAGAGCAGTCTAATCTTGAACATTGGTTAATTTTTCCGTAGTTTTCGGGCTCATTGCCTTCTAGATGCGGAGACAAGTCATGAATTTTTAGACATAAAAGAAAGCACGTGGAATTTTTTTAAGTAGTACGCTTCTAGTTTCGGTTATTTTAAGTAGAACACTTGCCACAGTATGAATCAAATTAATAATGATTTGATCCAATTATCAACCAATCCCTCGTACAAAGTTTAACTTCTACACTCTATAATAGGCTTGTCAATAGATCAAATTATGATATGAATCTAAATCTAAATCTAAATCTACATCTAAATCTAAATTTGAATCCGAATTTGAATCGGATATGAATTAATATTTTTTATTGAAAATTTGAACCAAAATCTAATATATAATATTTCGCGGATTCGAATTTGAATGTAGTTATAAACGATCCAATTATGATCTGATTTGAATTATTTATATATCTTTAAATAACTATCAAAAAAATTAAGTGATTATTTACAAAAATAATTGAAATTTAGCTATAATTTGTTAAAATTTACTTAATGAAACTATTCAGATCAGATCGACTTTTCAATTATTGTCAGATTAGGATGTGCACCACAAAAGTAAAATCCATCGAATCAAATTGGGATCATTCAAAATTCGATTCAAAATTTAATCCATGGACAAACCTACTCTACAGCAAGGCATGGGCAAAACCAATTCCAAGTAAAGCGAGATAATGACTTACAATAGAATAGAAAAAAAAGGGTCTATTTTCTTTGAAGTGTCTTATGAGACCCCCGAGAACACCCCCACCCCCCCCCCCCCCCCCACCCCCAACCAAAAAAAACCCAACCCAACCCAAAAAAAAAAAAAGTTCTTAAAATATTGGTACAAATAAAATTCATTCTAAATCATTAAATTGTATTGACCAAAAAAAAAAAAGGTGGCTCTATTTTCATCCCACAAATTTTCGTTCCCAACCCATTAAATTAGAAATTATTAAATTATTAAATTCACCTTATTGTAATCATCCCACTAATAACTAAATCTATCTCATTCTATACTCACTTCATTAATAACTAAACTTATCTTAATATTTACTTTTAGGGTTTTTTTCTATACCTTATCTAACACAGGCTATACAAAATATATTCAACTAGATTATCTATCAAAATTGAATATATAATTATGTCCAGACTGTGTGATTTGAGGAGGAAGACTTGATTTTTTTTTCTTTTTAAAAAATTTAGCTTTAGGTGCGACCTCCAACAAAGAGTCTAAGAGATTTATTTCTGTACATTGAGAAATTCAGTGTGAAGCGATTTCTTTCAATTGACGATTAAGAAAGAAAGTAAAAAAGAGAAGAGAATGGTAAAATCAGAGTATTCCGATGATGAGATCGAAGAAGATGAAAGTTGGACTATGACAATTGAAGCAACTTGCATGAAATAAACTCAGAGTGGAATTCAGATGAATATATTTTGTGTATAGACGGTACAACATGGGTATAGAAAAAAAAATCTTAAAGGTGAAATTTGAGATAAATTTTGTTATTAATTGAGTGGATATAGAATTAAGTGAATTTAATTATTAGTTGGGTGAATATAAAAAAAGTGAATTTTGTAGTTTTATGATTTATTATTTAATGAAGTGGGAACGAAAATTTGTAGCTATGAATAACCCCACCAAAAACATCATTAAATTGTAATCTAATGGCATAATTCTTATCATATGACAGTTTTGCATCTTGAATCAGACGAGTTTCGAGGTAACAATGTAGACAATATGAACAAGAAAGGTGGAAGAAAGTCAGCCGCTCTGAATTTTATACTTTATAGCCACACATGTTTTATAAATTATAAATAATGCCCTTTATTTTATTGTAATTATGACTTTTCAATGCATCTAGAAGTCTTTTCCAAAAAACTAAAAATAAAAAATGCATCTAGAAGACAATGGGTGAATAAACATCGGAGAACTTGACAACTGTTCAACATTAGACTGCTTGACCAATCCAAATCATAGATCTAAAATTTAGGAAGTTGTTACAGAAGCTTCCCCGTGGACTTCGGACCTGTTTAACAAGTTGTGCTCTTATTCCGATCTAAAACTATTATTACATTGCTCTATAAAAAGCCACAAAGACCCACCTAAGCAATCCATCATTTCCGGTTTCTCTTGCTTATACATCTCAATTGAAGGCTAAAAAGAAGAGTTACTGCATCAAAAACATGGCAAACGATGACCTAATGGAGAAGCTTTCGAAATCAGTAGACATGGGTACTAGAGAAGAAAGATGGTCCCTCAAGGGAAAGACTGCCCTTGTCACTGGTGGTACTAGAGGAATTGGGTTGGTATCTCTACATTTATCTTCCTTGAATCAATTCAATTTTTCGCAAAACACGTGTTTCGTAAATATGCTTTTCCTCGAAAAACATGAATGAAATTTGAACACAGCCCTATCATTGTTTGTTATGATGGATTAAATGGGTTTATTGATGAATTTTAGGTGTGCCATTGTGGAGGAACTAGCTGGGTTTGGTGCTGCTGTTCATACATGTTCAAGGAACCAAACAGAACTCAATGAAAAGCTAAAAGAATGGGAAGCAAAGGGTTTTAAAGTAACTGGTTCAGCATGCGATTTGTCATCAAGACCATCACGAGAGGAGCTAATGAAGACTGTGTCCTCTGTTTTTGATGGCAAACTAAACATCCTTGTAAGTTGCTGCCTCACATTCTGATTTGTTTTTGCCAGAAATTTGTACTTGTCATCTTCCCAATTACTGTGTCTTATTGTTTTTGATGCTTTGTTTAATTTACTGATGAACCAACTCTCTAAAAGAGATAATACATTGTGTTGTGTGTTAGATAAACAATGCTGCAACAAGTGTACTTAAACGAGCAACAGACTACACTGCAGAAGAATTCGAACGCACAATGGAGACCAACGTCGCATCTCCATACCATCTATGCCAACTCGCACACCCTCTCCTAAAAGCATCTGGAAATGGAAGCATTGTGTTCATTTCCTCGGTTTCAGGTGTGACGGCCCTACCTGCTCAAACTGTGTATGGAGCATCTAAAGGTAATCTATTTGTAACTATGCAAAAATCGGAATGAAAATCATCATATGAAAAGGTCTTAAATTTTGACGACCCTCTATTTTTTTTCAGCTGCAATCAATCAAATTACACAGAACTTGGCTTGTGAATGGGCAAAGGATAACATTCGCACCAACACAGTTGCACCATGGGGTGTCAAAACCACCGTTATGAAACCTGTATGATTCCTCTCTCATCCAAACTCCTTTTCCTATTTTGGGTTTTCCCCTAAAAAATGTTTAATATTAACTGTTCTGTTTTCTTTGTTTCTTCATTCCAGGAGGATATGGATCCATCAATAATGATGATGTATATGCCACTAATGGCTCGAACTCCTCTCCGCCCCATAGCAGAGCCCCAGGAGATTTCAGGACTTGTGACATTCCTTTGCCTTCCCACTGCTTCATATATTACAGGGCAGGTTATCGTTGTTGATGGTGCATACACAGCTGGTGGTTTCTCCATGTAAAGCACCAAATCACCACTGTATTAGTCACCTACCTACCACTACCTAAATAAGCTTCTAAGTATTGAGGCAGATTTGTCACCAAAGATTTATTTCTGGGTGTTTTTCGTGTCGGTTAAGGTAGAAAATCTTAGTATATGTTGATGTTGTGTTATTTTGTTGTTTTTTTGGTTCTTGGGTTTGGCCCTGTATTTGTATTTCCCTTCATAGTATTTGTTTCGTCTTGCTATTGGATCAATTACACTTTATATATTCACAGATTAGGAAAAGATCTTCATGCATTCGTTGTGTATCCACACTTTCTCTCTCTGCTTTGACAGTGACGAAAAGGTTCTTGGAAAGGTTTATCTTATAAAGCAAATTAAGCAAAAAGGAAAAGAGGGTGAGGCACTACGATAATGGTGGATCTAGATTTGCCTACAACATGTGGTCCTTCCATTATCACCCCCATTATTATTTTCCATAACTGCCAGCAGATTACAATGATGGTGATAGTATGGTGTACCTCGGGGGCTCCCCCCGTACGCAAGTGAAGCGGTTGCCTCGAATAGAATTTCCACTGGCTTAAGCTTCATTGGCAATTTGGCAAATATCTAAATTTTTAAAAATTTAAAAAAAAAAAAAAGGATTTTACATCAAAGGATCAAAAATCTTAAAAAATGGGAAATTTTTTAGTCACACTCCCTCTAATTTATCATATATTTAAAAACACTCTCTCTAATTTTTGAATCTTCACTAACACCCCTTAAAGACCTTAACTAGAATATAATTTTACAAAAATGTTCATGATATATTTTAGAACAAACTTCATCAGTCCATTTACACCATTTCTAGATAAATATATCTTCAATGAGACCCTCTATATTTTATAAATTTGTTTACATATTAAAATTTTAACAAATTAAAATTTGATTCAAGTTGAATAAAATTCGTTTTTAATCAGTTCGAATCAAATTTTAATCAACTCGTATTGAATTTTAATCAGCCCGAATTTTGATACATAAAAAATATAAATTTTAATTCCACTCAAATTTTAATATGTAAAAAATGAATGTTAATCAACTTGAATAGAATTTTAATTAACATGAATTTTAATAAGTAAAAACAATATAAATTTTAATCGATTCGAATCGAATTTTAATCTATGCTAACAACTCAGGTTGAGCTCAAATCGATTCGAATTTTAATATGTAAAAAAAATAAAAATTAATCAGCTTGAATCGAATTTTAATCTGGTTAAATTTAAATATGTAAAAAAAATTAATCATCTCGAATTTTAATATATAAAAAATAAATTTTAATCAAATTTTATGTAAAAAGATTATTTAGAATTTATGTAGGGACAATTTTGGTATTTTAGATAAATTCTTTTTTATTAAAAATGGTGGTTTAATAGTAGGAGTGTTAATGATGTTTAAATATAAATTAGAAGGGGTGTCAATGATGTTTTAGATAATAGAGATATTGTCCTTAAAGATATAGTAAATTAGAAGGGGTGTGATTAAAATTTTTCCTAAAATGTATTATTTTTTAAATCATAAATATATGTACATTCAACCAAAAAATAATAATACTAACGTACCAAATTTCTTCTATAAAAAATTACAAGACTGTACTCTCTCAACAACTTTGCCTTATTTATTAAATTTAATTTAAATTTTTGAGATAATTTTGATCTTAATATAATCATTCATATAATATGTTTATTTTGCGAGCTATTTTTTACCTTAAATATACGTCCTAAAAAATACAAATTTAAATATTTGAAATTAAAAATAAAAATAATCAAATTATTTAGCTAAAAATAATTTAGGGTCCCATTTAAAATTTTTTGTCGTTTTGCCTCGAGTATTCTTGGGCTAGGCCTAATGTAGCTTATGAAAAACAGATAATAATATGGAAGAGGAAGATTGGCTCCATTTAGTTGTTTTTCTTTAATTTTTCAGAATAATAAATCGTCAATCATACATCAATAGAGGCCTGCTCATATAGCGGGACTTATTTGGATTCATGAGAAATAATTTACTATTGAAAAGCTAAAACAAAAGTATAATAGTTGAGATCAGTATATTGAAGCATAAATTGATGCTATTTCCATAAATAGGATGATTGTTTTTTTTTTTGGCAGACATAAATAGAAAGATTTAAGGATAAAAACAATTGGTTGATTAGTTATAAGATTAATTTAATCTAACCCATTGGGCAAGGGCGGAGCTAGAATATAATGCAATTTTATTAAACTGTTCATGATATATTTGAGGACAAACATCATCCACACCCCCTCTAGATAAGTATATCTTCAATGAAACCCCTTCTATTTTCTAATTTTTTAACATATTAAAATTCGAGTCGATTAAAATTCGATTCAAACTAATTAAAATTTATTTTGTTATATATTAAAAGTTGAGCAGATTAAAAATTATATTTTTATTAAAATTTGGACTAATTAAAATTCTATTTGAGCCAATTAAAAATTATTTTTAATTGACTCAAATCAAATTTTAATCAACTCACATTAAATTTTAATCTATAAAAAAATATAAATTTTAATTGACTTAAATTTTAATAAATCGAATTTTAATTGACATGAATTTTAATAAGTAAAAAAATATAAATTTTAATCAACTCAAAAGCGAATTTTAATCGGCGCTAACAACTCGAGTAGAGTTCAAATCAGCTCAAATTTTAATACATAAAAAATAAATTTTAATAGACTCGAATTTTAATACGTTAAAAAAATAAAATTTAATCAACTTCAATTGAATTTTAATTGGTTCAAATTTTAATATATAAAAAAAAATTATAATCGACTCGAATTTTAATAAAATTTTATTTAGAAAAATTACTTAAGGTTTATGTAAGGGCATTTTTGGTATTTTTGAATTTTTTTTTTTTTTTATTTGTAGTTTAATGGTAGAGGGTGTTAGTGATGTTTAAATATAAAATAGAATGGATGTCAGTGATGTTTTTAATAATAGAGGGGTGTCCTTGAAGATATAGTAAACTAGGAGGGGTGTGGCTAAATTTTCGTTTTTTTTTTTTGGTGGACAACAATCTTATAAATATAAAAGAATATCTATAATAGATCAATTATAAGCTATATTTTTTCATCATTCCCTTTTTATGTTCACAATTATCGAGGATGTGACAAAATCTTCATTCATTTTTGTAAAAACTAATTCTAATCATAAAATGCTATTTGGTCAAGATTAACTATACAATTTTATATATATCTGCACACACACACGTAAAATTTCAAATATGTTTTATACAATCCAAAATCAAAAAACTTGTTTTAGGGGTCAATATGTCCTCTATTCACAGAAAATTACACAAAATCAAATGGCTACATAAATTTTCAAGAATTAGAGAGGGTAAATGTGTTAAATGCTCCGGAGAAGCTTAGAAGAAGCAACATTAAATGCTCGGGAGTGTGAGTATTTAATGACTGTACATTGAAGAAAAAACATTAAATGCACGAGAGTCAAGAAGAAGGGGCATTAAATACTAGAGAAGCTGAGTATTTAATGCCTAAACCTAGTCCATGCAACAGAGAGAGTGTACTGTCCATTGACTGAGCATCGCCTAATACCTACTAATCAACAATGATAACTGTCGTAGAAGGTATAAATAGCTCTCTAAAACTCAAAACTAAGGTACTCAAAGTTAATTTTCAGCATATACACAATTGTTTTCCTTTTCCTCTCACACAGAAATTGACTTGATCGTCAGAGGAAATACGCCGAAAAATACTCCGATGCCCTTCTAACCTCGCTCTTTATGCAAGGAACCATCTGTGGCTCGTTGGAATCGATCGGACAGCCCTTAAAACAATTCATCAGCACTCCTTAGGCCACCTTTGGCTGCTCCTTTGCCACCGGATCGCTGACTTTCAAGATAAATATGAGTTCACTAAGGGAGAAAGTTATTTTTTTCTATTTATTGTGCAAAAATCTACGCACACAAGATTATTTTTTTTGGGCAAACATAAATAGAAAGATTAAGGATAAAAAAAAATTGGTTGATTAGTTATAAGATTAATTTAATCTACCCCAATGGGCAAGAGCGGAGGTAGAATACAATGTTAGGGTATCTGACTAGAAAATACGTCGGTTGAAAATTAAATTAAATTCAAGCATTACACAATATATTAAGATTTAAGGCTCAACTAATGTATGAAACAGTAAAACCAATTTCTATCTATTCTAAACGAAATTAGAGTAAAAATCATATAAACTATTTTTTTTTGTGGACAACAATCTTATAAATATAAAAGAATATCTATAATAGATTAATTCTAAGCTGTATTTTTTCATCATTCTCTTTTTATGTACACAATTATCGAGTATGTGACAAAATCCTCATTCATTTTTGTAAAAACTTATTCTAATCATAAAATGCTATTTGGTCAAGATTAACTATACAATTATATATATATCCAAAATTAAAACACTTGTTTTAGGGGTCAATATGTCCTTTAGTCACAGAAAATTAAACAAAATCAGATGGCTACATAAATTTTCAAGAATTAGAGAGGGTAAATGTGTTAATTAAATAAATTTGAGGGACACATTTACGGATAGTTCAAATATCAGGGGGGCAAGTGTCCACCCCCAACCAAACGTGGCTCCGCACCTGCCAATGGGCCGAGCTCTTGGTCTGCAGTTTCAATGCGAATCTCAGTGTTGAGGGTGGACTTGTGGGGCTCTCATTGATTTCCGGAGTTGGGTGGGCCTTTCGGAACAACCACCATCCGTAGCTTGGGTTGCAAAGGAAGAGACATTACAAGAGGTTACCGAAATAGCTTCTCTGCATACAGTCCAAAATCGGATTGTTCATGGTAAAAACTAAATTAGCCATATGGAGTATGCATTTGGGGCAGAAGCTACTACCGCTATTTTATTTATATTGCTCCGCATGCACATTCCCAGGGGCATGACATTCACAGACTCAGAGAGGTTGGTCTCGTAAACTACTTTTTTCGGCCGTCTATTCTAAGTTAATACTTCTTTTGTTACGCTTTTTAGTGGATTCTTTGGCGTTGGTACTTTTGGAGTCTCTTTCCCCCTCCTGGTAGTCAGTCCGTTGAGTGCTGTGCTTTTTGTGATATAAAAACTCTCTTAGTGATAATCGAACATTACTGGCATTGATGAAGTCTCCATTTGTTATTCTTTTGTTGAGAAAATAAATAAGATTGCATATCACATACCTCTCATGTTCACCAGTAGACTGTAATCTTATATCCCCTAGG